GGCGCTTTGTTTCTTCACGCAGCTTAAAGGTCGTGATCTCAGCGTGGCTTTCTCACTCCAGCGCTGTCCTCCAGACAGTTTCGTCCCCTTCACCTGATGAAGGCCGCTTGTGTTGTGGCCGAAACGTTGTGAGAATTTTGTGTTATATTATTTTATCAATTTATTATTTTATTCTCATTTTACGCGACTTTTACTGAAAGAACCAAAGAAGATGAATCCTTGCAGTCACAAAAGCTTTAAATCGACGAACGTTTTGAATTATCTCAATTAAAAAAGAGAGATGATATTGTCGTCCTCTCAGCCGACAAGGGCAATGCCACTGTCATTATGGACAAAACAGAATATAACAACAAAATTCAAGAACTACTCAACGATGGCAGCAATACAAAAATAAAAAGAGATCCCACCAACAGCCTGGTTACCAAAACGAACAAAATCATCCCTGATTCAACAGCATTAATTGATGAGACCAAACAGTTCTCGTTGAAACCCTCTGCTGCCAGACCACCAAGATTATATGGCCTTCCAAAGATACACCCCTTCGTCCCATCGTCTCTACAATCAACTCCCCCACCTATAAACTGGCACGTTTTCTTGCTGCTATACTGCGACCTTTCACTGGAAAAAAACCACCTCTGCGGTACTAAATTCTACTCACCTGGTATCGACAATCAAAGGCATTTCCCTGTCCCCAGACGACCTGTTTGTCAGTTTTGATGTGGTGTCCTTGTTCACCAAAGTCCCGGTACCTGACACCATCGCTATCATTGAAGACCTGGTTCATCAAGGACTGCACACTGATGTACCCCCCCTGGTGAGACATTGCTTAACCAACACATACTTCACCTGGAATGGACCTTTCTACAAACAAACTGAGGGCACCCCAATGGGCTCCCCCCTATCTCCCGTTGTAGCCAACGTATTCATGGAAAAATTTGAAACTGACGCCATCCAGACTACCACTCTACGCCCGACCTTATGGAAGAAGTACGTGGATCACACCTTTGTCATCTGGCCACATGGCCAGCCTGCTCTAGACCAATTCTGCGACCACATCAATTCCATACACCCAGCCATCAGATTTACCATGGAGGTCGAAAAAGATGGCAAACTACCCTTTTTGGATGTCTTAATTAAAAGTAGACATGATGGTTCAATGAGCCACTCTGTCTACAGGAAAGCTACCCATACAGATGCTTACTTGAAATCGGATTCCCACCACTACCCATCCCAGAAGAACTCCCTCATCAAGACTCTATACCATAGAGCCCAATGCATATCCGACCAGGAACACATTACCAGTGAACTGAAGCACGTACACCAGGCTCTCAGGGCTAATGGTTACTCCGACTACACAATCCGCAAAGCCGTCACTCCAGTCATGAAGAAGGATCCTCTTGTGGAGCCACTCAAAACCATCACCTTACCCTACATTGCAGGGGTCACTAAAAAGATCTCCAAAATCCTGAATAAACACAAGATCCAGGTCCGATTCAACACAGTACATAAAATCCGTGATCTAGTTCCATCTGTAAAAGATGCTGTTCCAGACATACAGTACCCGGGCGTTTACAAACTAAAGTGCCTCTGTGGTAGTAGCTACATTGGAAAAACCAAACGACATATCTCGGACCGCATCCGCGAACATAAAGCAGACTTGAAACACGGTAGAACGAACTCCTCTGCCGTGGCAGATCACTGTTATAATTCAGTGGGCTCACATGACATTGACTTCTCGAAGACGGAGGTTCTTTGCAAACCAACCGGCTACCATGAGATTCGTTCATGAGGCCATTCACATATACAAGCACAGAGACAATTTCAACCGAGAAGATGGATTCTGGCTTAGTAACCATTGGAAAGATGTTTTAAACCATTTCCGTTCTTAATTAATTGTATTTTACGATGACCTTCAGACCGCAGCTCTTTCGCTGGCATTGACTCTTCATACCTCTCACACCACGGTTAATGGTATGGTTTACAACATGGAGTATAACAGCGCCTCACAGCTGTCTCTCTCCCCCTCCTCTGTTCCGACCATGGATGAACTCGTCCGTCTGAACGGGACCCGTAGCTAAAGTTGAGGGTAAGAATCCACCAATTTTTCGCCATATAGCATTGTGATATATAACGACTTATTGTTGGTAGCTTAGCTGATTGGAGAATATAGAGTTTATTGATAACATTGAGGTAATTTATCTTTTAGTATTTTCATTGGTTCACTATATAGTATTCATTATATATTGTATTGTATACCCAGTTACTTTGAATAGCTCAGATGTGTAGGCCTTGACTTCAACATAGCCATTTCTGTGACCAGTCACAAGCTGATCACTCAGTTATTTCAATGCTAAATTCGCCTAGTTATTTCAATGCTAAATTCTCCTGTTTGATTTGTACTAGGTGCCTCGGTGAATGTGTGTGCTCTGACTTTAACATAGCTATTTCTGTGACCAGTTACAAGCTAATCACTCAGCTATTTCAATGCTAAATTCTATGCTAATTCCTTTGTCAAGAGGTGCCTTTGCGGATGTGTATGCTTTAACTTTAACATAGCTTTTTCTGTGACCAGTCACAAGCTAATCCCTCAGCCATTTCAATGCTAAATTATATGCTAATTCCTTTGTCAAGGCGCTTTGTTTCTTCTCACACAGCTTAAAGGTCGTGATCTCAGCGTGGCTTTCTCACTCCAGCGCTGTCGTCCAGACAGTCTCGTCCACTTCACCTGATGAAGGCCGCTTGTGTTGTGGCCGAAACGTCGTGAGAATATTATAGTGTTATTTGATTTTATCAATGTATTATTTTATTCTCATTCTACGTGACTTTACCGAAAGAACCAAAGAAGATTTAAAATGGTTAATTAACATTTGTTCCCAGTCTGTATTGACAGGGATCCGTGATTCTTATTCTCAAGTTATATTTTGATATCCTGAGGTTGAAGATATAGCTAAGCTTCAAACCTAACTGTTGGTAGCTCATAATGATTAACTGCCCTTTGTTGTATATGCCGGGCATTGGAAATTGAATAAACCAATAAATGTTAAATGTTAATTTACGCGTATAAATTATGCCAATTAGAGAGATAATCAAATTAGTTCATGCGAATGTGTGCGATTATGCTAATGTAAGCTGTTATGATATTTAGGCCCTCCCTCGTTGTCGAGGGTAGTATTACCAATCGGGATAATACAATTAATGTATGAAGTTATGCAGGTGTGCTGTAAGTATGCTAGATTCAGCTCGGCTTCCTTGTCTCGGTTCGTATTATTACTCGGTATAATACAATTATTCTCGCTTTAACATTTACCGATTATGTATTAGTGTGTTTATGTCAGGTCTCCAAATTCAAATCTCATCGCAGGAAACAGTTCCTATAATTAATATTATTACGCATGAGCTTAGGAAAGAAACAATCAAACACTTCTGTGTTAAGCAATTTAAATTTCGAAACAAAAACATAATACTCTAATATGCGAACTCTTATGCTTGGAATTGTCAACACAGTACTCCTGGAGATGTTCTCACCGATCCATACATTTAACCCTCAATGATCACATTGTTAAATTGGGTAACAGAATAATCGATTAATTCCTTACAGTAACGCGAACATACATGGTGATAGGAAAAAGTCCTTAAAATTCATATGAAGGGCAATAAAGAAACATGTCCCGAAGGCAAAAGTATACGGCAATGAATTAATTGGGAAGATTATGTAGTTACGAAATGTCTTGGGACAATGGTGTGCGACAGTCTGCCCGCTTCAACAATTGCTTATCAATTGGCTGAGGCTTCAATTCATTTGCAGGCAATATTCTGTGATCAAAAGAACGATTTCAACACAATATTCTCCCTGTGAGTGTGTAGAGTCGTAACGTAGGTTTCTAAACGTTTGGTTTCATCAATTAATTCATTGGCAATAGTTATCCAATTAAAAAGAAAAAAATAACGACTGAAATACTTCTAAATGACTGTATCCATGTAACTCAATGGGCCGCAATGTTCCTCGTTATCAGCTAGTAGTTGACGCACTTATCATGAGTCTTCTTGTAAGTGTTAATGTGTGAGTGTTGTTGATCTTCTTGCGTTAAGCAAACGCCGAGGTTGGACATCCCTTGTATCAAAAATGTCTTTGTCTCCTGCGGAGAGGTGAGGGTGTGAGGGTGGGCGTGTCTTACAAACGGTGGGCGTGTCTTACAACGGTGGGCGTGTCTTACAACGGTGGGCGTGTCTTACAACGGCGGGCGTGTCTTACAACGGCGGGCGTGTCTTACAACGGTGGGCGTGTCTTACAACGGTGGGCGTGCCTTACAACGGTGGGCGTGTCTTGCAACGGTGGGCGTCTTACAACGGTGGGCGTGTCTTACAACGGTGGGCGTGTCTTACAACGGTGGGCGTGTCATACAACGGTGGGCGTGTCAGACAAACGGTGAGCGTGTCTTACAACTGTGGGCGTCTTAGAACGGTGGGCGTGTCTTACAACGGTGGGCGTGTCTTACAACGGTGGCAGATACAGGCTCCTTCCACTGCTGGAGGAGCTGCGCCGCACGCGCTCCCTCCTGCCCCGTGCTCTTTGCCGATAACCCGACTGCGCGTGCAGTTCGTTCGCCGGCGGCAGACACCCTTGCTCGTTATTCTGTTGCTCGGCTGTGGCTGCTGGTGGGAGCCGGCACTCAGGATGGAATTACTTTGAGCGACGCTTCTCCTGTCGGCTCTAAACTCGCGTTCGGCGGCACGTCGCTACTCGGCGAGTCTCTCCATCCCCGGTTGATTGCAGAGTCTCACCCCGGAGCTTGCCGCTCGCCCGCACCCTCTTCTGAGAGAGCTGTCTCTTGCCGAGCTGTCCCTTTGTCGAGCTCCCCGTGTCGAGCTGAACTGTGTGTCGTAGGAATAGGGTTCACCCTTTTTTTAACTGGCACAAAAAACTGGCACCTCTATTCAAGGCATCATGTTTGCAATAACCACAACACAAGCAGTCAAAATGTAAACAAAGAGTTTTATACTCTGATAGTGCGCTGTTCTTGAGCTGCCACGCCCCCTGGCGTCCCCCGGCCCAACACCAATGGAGACCAGGCTCCAAGAAAAGCCAGGGGGCGTGGCGGCTCAAGAACAGCGCACTATCAGAGTATAATACTCTTTTGTTTGCATTTTGACTGCTTGTGTTGTGGTTATTGCAAACATGATGCCTTGAATAGAGGTGCCAGTTTTTGTGCCAGTTAAAAAAAGGGTGAAACCTATTCCTATATCTTGTTACTGGCAAAGGAGGTCTCATGATGTGTGTGTCGTGTTGCTGTTTTTAATCCAAAAAATCTCCCCTCTGCGCGTCTCTTGCGAGAGAAAAAGAAACAGATGCTTACTCCGTCATGCTCTAATCCCCCCTCCCCTCTTCCCTTGGTGACCCCGGGCTGCTTTACATCAAATTGATGTTTGTTTGCCCTCCCAACCCCTCTCTTCGCGGTGTCCGCCAAGGGAGGGGACGCACCTTTCATACGTTTTATGGCTACCATGTGTTTGTGTCAAATTGTTGGAAGACAAAGGCGGGCGGGGAGGCTCTGATTAAATGGAATACATTTATCTGGTCTTTGTGTTTGACATATTTCTTGTACCTCTAATGAATTAGCCTAGGTCTAATCTCTTGTGATTATTTTATGGTTTGTGTTTAACCAAGATTTGTAATGTACCATTAGATGTTACCTCCGGTATTTCAAGGGTTTTTATTAACTTTTGCTCCCTGTCTGCATCCAGGGATCCGTGTTTTTTTTTTATTCTCGAGGTCAGAGATATCCCGAGGGCTGGAGATATAACCAAGCCCTCACTTTCTTGACTGCCAGAATTCACATTCCTTAGTTCTCTTGGTGAAGTTACATAGATAGAAATATAAAATAGGAAACAATGTGAGTTGAATAACGGTGAAATAAAATAAGCAAGAATAAAGCCACTAATATAGACTGCAGTCTATCATGTCGACTTATTCTTATAGCCAAGCTTGAACTTTTTCCGTACAAAAAAATATATCAGTTATAATGTCCGTTTGCCCTGTGCTGTGTCCGTGCCTGTGATTCTGGATATTTGTTTGTGATCGGTCAACAGTGCCAAGCAGGTCATGGTATGTGGTCCTTTGGCAATCTGGAGATTTTGCAGATCGTCGTCGTTAACCTCCCTTTGCCCCCGGAGTTTATTATTTAATGGCCTTTTACGACCTCCAGATGCTTGGTGCTTGTTGGAGGTAGCAGGTTTGAGGGTGTTTATATATTTTATCGATTATTAATAAAAAATGGCAGAATTATTCTTACTCTTTGGTTCTATTCGGTAAAGTCACGTAGGTAAAAAATAAAACAAAAATCACGACGTTTCGGCCACAACACAAGTGGCCTTCATCAGGTGAAGGGACCAGACTGTCTCGAGGACAGCGCTGGAGTGAACACAGCCAAGCTCAGACCGCGACCTTTAAGCTGTGTGAGAGGAATTGAGGTGCCTTGACAAAGGAATTAGCATAAAAATAAGCATTTAATTGGCGGACTTAGCATGATGAACGGTGTAGAGGGGTGAACATGTGCAGGCCGGCGAGGGGGGGAGGGGGAGTTTATATATTGGTGTGAAAAGGGAATTTTAAGAAGCTGCGAAAGTTTGGGGTACCACTACTTGAAAAAATATACTGTACCATTGAAAATAAGTTTAATGTTTGGTTCGATTTAGAACATCTTTCCAATGGTTGCTTAATTTGAAACCATCTTCTCGGTTGAAATTGTCTGTGTTTGTAAATCTGAATTGCCTCGTGAACAAATCTCTAATAAAAACCCGTGGGTTTGCAAAGAACCTTGGTATCGGAGAAAATTATATCGTGATCACCCACAGCGTTGTAACAGTGATCAGCTACGGCAGAAGAATTCGTTCTGCCGTGTTTCAAATCTGATTTGTGCTCGCGAATTCGGTCAGAGACATGTCGCTTCGTCTCCCCGATATAGCAATCACCGCAGGTACAACTCAATTTGTAAACCCCGGGGTACTGCAAGTCAGGAATGACATCATTCACGGATGGGATCAGATCACGAATTTTGTGTACTGTATTGAACCGGCCCTGGATCTTGTTTGTTTAGAATTTTGGAAATCTTTTTAGTAACGCCTCCTATATGTGGCAGTGTGATGGTTTTGACCGGAGTATCAAGTGGTTGTTTCTGTATGGAGGGAGAAACAGCTTGGCGGATGGTACGGTCAGAGTACCCATTCCTTTTGAGGGCCAAGGTGTACATGTTTTAATTCACTGGCCAGGTGGTGTTGGTGCGAAATGCAAGAATTATTCTTAATATAAATTTTGGAAAAAGGCCTACACATACAACACCTTGGGAGAATTTCGCTGTCCAAGGGAGGTTCGTGACCCCTGCTGTTTTCGTCTTTTGTTTTGTTGTGGGGTTTTTCCTTCATGGCGGCCTTCTCTTGAAGTCAACTGGGGATTTCCCGCAGAATCCCATTAGCCCCCCCTCCCCCCTTGGGTTTGCCATTTTTTTAAATTACATTTTATAACTTCCCCAGCAGACTTGTGAGTAATTATCCTCCAGCAGTCTTTTGTGTGGCAAGGCAGGAGGCAGCGGAGAGGGGTGACTCACCCTTTCCATGCCCCAGCGCTACATCCCGATCAAAATGATTACAAAACAATAGAAAGAATCAATCAATACAATTTTGTGGAAAAGGCATATTTACAACATGCTCTTCGAGTGTTTGTGATGAGATGATACAAAACAACTGAGTTGCTGAGGCGATTAAGCAAGCACCATATAAATGCTAAAATTATTATAACGTAGTGAATGCTTCGGAGATTATTGGCTCTGGCTCCTGGCAAGAGATCTAACCAACCCACAGGTCCGCAAATACTGGTTGCTCTTACTCTGCAGGTTGAACCTAGGAATGGAGTGTTCGACTTCACGTTATTGTAATTAAAAGCCTGTAACAAAGGGGAATCTATTGGAGCTTCATTGTCTCAAGCTTACACATCTACAGGGTCTCCATTTGACTTTGTATTGTCTAAGAAGTCCACCCACACCTCCACTTCCACAAACTGCTGGGAGTTGCCTCGCTCTGCCTCACAGTCAGAATTCTCCTCCTGCTTAACGTTGCATCCATCGATGTAAAGACGCAATTTTGGAGTTGAATCTTCATCTTCACATTTCACCTTCACTTGTTCGCTCTTCACCATCACTTCTTCACATTTCACCATCACTTCTTCGCTCTTCACCATCACTACTTCACATTTCACCTTCGCCGCTTCAAAATCCACCTTGATACATTTCATTCCGTCCAAGCTGGAAGTAAATTCTGGTTCTTTTTTCAGCAGGGATGGGCTCATTGCAGCACTTTGACTTTCACAAGCCGATTTCAGATTCCGCTCCTTGGGGATCTTTTGATACCTGTGTGTCCTCTGGTGTCTATGAAGCTGTGGTGACCGCGCAAACGCCTTCCCGCACAGAGTGCACTTAAAGGGTTTCTCTCCTGTGTGTGTTCTCTGGTGTTTTTTAAGATGTGATAACTCTGCAAATGCCTTCTCACACACAGTGCACTTGAAGGGTTTATCTCCTGTGTGCGTTCTCTGGTGGTCGTGAAGATGTGATGACTGTGCAAATGCGCTTCTACACACAGTGCACTTGAAGGGTTTCTCTCCTGTGTGTGTTCTCTGGTGTTTTTTAAGATGTGATGACCGTGTAAACGCCTTCCCACACACAGTGCACTTGAAGGGTTTCTCTCCCGTGTGTGTTCTCTGGTGTCTCTGAAGAACTGCTGACTTTGCAAATGCCTTCTCACACACAGTGCACTTGAAGGGTTTCTCTCCTGTGTGCCTTCTCTGGTGGATCTTAAGACCTGATGAACATGTAAACGCCTTCTCACACACAGCGCACTTGAAGGGTTTCTCTCCTGTGTGCCTTCTCTGGTGGATCTTAAGACTTGATGACTGTGCAAATGCCTTCTCACACACAGTGCACTTGAAGGGTTTCTCTCCTGTGTGCATTCTCTGGTGGTCGTGAAGATGTGATAACCGTGCAAATGCCTTCTCACACACAGTGCACTTGAAACATTTTTCTCCTGTGTGCGTTCTCTGGTGGTCGTGAAGATGTGATGACTGTGCAAATACGCTTCTACACACAGTGCACTTGAAGGGTTTCTCTCCTGTGTGCGTTCTCTGGTGTTTTTTAAGATGTGATGACCGTTTAAACACCTTCCCACACACAGTGCACTTGAAGGGTTTCTCTCCCGTGTGTGTTCTCTTGTGTCTCTGAAGAACTGCTGACTGTGCAAATGCCTTCTCACAAACAATGCACTTGAAGGGTTTCTCTCCCGTGTGTGTTCTCTGGTGGTCGTGAAGAAGCGATGGCTTGACAAATGCCTTTTCACAGACAGTGCACTTGAAAGGTTTAGCTCCTGTGTGTGTTCTGTGGTGGCTCCTAAGAACTGATGACTGTGCAAATGCCTTCTCACACACAGTGCACTTGAAGGGTTTCTCTCCTGTGTGCGTTCGCTGGTGGCTCTGAAGAACTGATGACTGTGCAAATGCCTTCTCACAGACACTGCACTTGAAGGGTTTCTCTGTGTGCGTTCTCTGGTGTTTTTTAAGATATGATGACCGTGTAAACACCTTCCCGCACACAGTGCACTTTAAGGGTTTCTCTCCTGTGTGTGTTGTCTGGTGTATTTGAAGATCAGATGAACTTGAAAATGCCTTCCCACACACACTGCACTTGAAGAGGTTCTCTCCTGTGTGCGTTCTCTGGTGTTTTTTAAGAACTGCTGACTTTGAAAATGCCTTCTCACAAACAATGCAGTTGAAGGGTTTCTCTCCCGTGTGTGTTCTCTGGTGGTCGTGAAGATGCGATGGCCGTGCAAATGCGCTCCCACACACAGTGCACTTGAAAGGTTTAGCTCCTGTGTGTGTTCTCTGGTGACTCCTAAGAACTGATGACCATGCAAATGCCTTCTCACACACAGTGCACTTGAAGGGTTTCTCTCCTGTGTGTGTTCTCTGGTGGTTTTTAAGATGTGATGACTCTGCAAATGCCTTCTCACACACACTGCACTTGAAGGATTTCTCTCCTGTGTGTATTCTCTGGTGTCTTTTAAGATGTGATGACTCTGCAAATGCCTTCTCACACACACTGCACTTGAAGGGTTTCTCTCCTGTGTGTGATCTCTGGTGGTTTTTAAGATGTGATGACTCTGCAAATGCCTTTTCACACACACTGCACTTGAAGGATTTCTCTCCTGTGTGTATTCTCTGGTGTCTTTTAAGATGTGATGACTCTGCAAATGCCTTCTCACACACACTGCACTTGAAGGGTTTCTCTCCTGTGTGTGTTCTCTTGTGCTGAGTCAAACTTCCAGTATGATCCGTGCTGTATGCACACTGGTCGCATTGTTTATTTTTTGTACCGAGCTGCGCCGAGTGCCGTTGCTCCATCAGACCAATTCTGCAGAGGAAGCGTCAGAGGAAGAGTCAGCTGCAGTCATAAAAATGTATCCACACCATCTACGTCAGTATCAAGACACAGAGGAATGCATATATACACAGTCACACATGACTTACACATCTATACTTATTCATATATTCATGATATAGTGAAAATTATTCCCCAATTCATCACGCGGGCTGTTAAGGCACACAATGAGAGGGCCAATGGTCATAAATATTCCTGGATGCCCTAGTATCTTCAAAATGAATGTTTACCCAAAACTCCAAGCACACAATTTCGGCTGTCTAGCTATGAAAGGAATATTTAAGAAAAATTCAGCTATAATAGCAAAGTGTCTTGAAAATAATAGTATTTGTATTATGCAGAAAGGCATAAATTAATGTTCAATCGAAACTTCGAGGTGGAAGCCAGGCTCAGATTCGCTTGAATGCTCGGATGAACAGATCTAACTTCAGCTGCATATGTGCTGAGATGTTTTCCTGTTTCCATCCTTACAAAAAGTCCCAGAGGAAAATTAAAATAAACTATTGTTTTGATTTAACCTCCATGTTCAGTCGTTAATATACATTACTGCAAATACAAACTTGACATCGTCACACACTGGCATGGTAAAAAGGTGGTGGTGTGTCCAGAACCATGCCTGGCCACCTTCATCTGCTCATTATTAATGCGTTCTCACTTCATGTAATTAATTTAAGATCAATCAACATAGCAGAGGCCCACAATAAGTTGAGCTTTCACTTACACTATGTAACACGATTTTTTTTGCCCCTGGAAGGCTAGTGTTATTTTTTTTATTGGTCATGCCCACAAACTTTCGTTTTGTAACCAGGACTTGACGTGAAGGAATGACACAAATGCGCACGTTTTCTCATTGAAAATAGGTTCATTTCAAAAGATCACTGTCCTGGTCACAAAAGCAAAGTTTGTGGGGAATAATAGCCATTTTCTGTACTTTTGAGGCATAAGCAATTAGAAAATAACACTTACTACGCAGGGACAATTTTTTTTGTTACACAGTGTTATCAATCATGTTTGCTGTCGGCGATAATCAAACTAATTGTTGAGTTCATAATGCCGTGAAATAACTGCGAGATAAACTCTTAAATACACGTACATTTCACATGGATCATTAACATATCATATAAACAAAACATCCAACATTTATGACGAATTGCAAGTAACCTTTTCCCAGTGCTAATGCCATGATAGGTGCAATTTAAGGCCATGTAAGTGTGGATTCAGTGTCAGCAGGTAATGGGAATGATCCAGGTGTCAAGGGATGACTGACAGAAGAACCAGCTGTGCTCCCCACTGTCTTGCTGGGTTTTAGTAACCCAGCGTTCCACCTATTATTCATGTGGGCGTTGCTCTTCCGACCTCATCGTTATTGCAGAGCAACTAACTCTTATCTGCCATGAAGCATACCTCACGGGCCTCCTCCACAGAGGCCGATCTCCACTCCTGGCACCAGTCATCGGCAGGTCCGATCACCTCCACATCCTCCAGTCTCTTCTCTAGCCAATGCCTCGCCTGACCAGCCCCTAATATCTGGACAAAAAGCTGCTTGAGCATGCAGTGTCTGGGAATGCGGGATTCATGACCAAACCAATGCAGCCTCGCCTGCCAAAGAAACTCAAGATTATATTCTATATTGATATCTTAAGGGTCTGCAAGCTTCTAATATAATATAAACTGGTTGAATAGAGGATAAATCATTGGCAGGCCAGCCTTCACTATATAAGCCAGCACAGATGGTCATTTACAGTGAGGGAAAAAAGTATTTGATCCCCTGCTGATTTTGTACCTTCGCCCACTGACAAAGAAATGATCAGTGTATAATTTTAATGGTAGGTTTATTTGAACAGTGAGAGACAGAATAACAACAAAATCCAGAAAAACGCATGTCAAAAATGTAATAAATTGATTTGTATTTGAATGAGGGAAATAAGTATTTGACGCCCTCTCAATCGGAAAGATTTCTGGCACCCAGGTGCCTTTTAAACAGGTAACGAGCTGAGATTAGGAGCACACTCTTAAAGGGAGTGCTCCTAATCTCAGCTTGTTACCTGTATAAAAGACACCTGTCCACAGAAGCAATCAATCAATCAGATTCCAAACTCTCCACCATGGTCAAGACCAAAGAGCTCTCCAAGGATGTCAGGGACAAGATTGTAGACCTACACAAGGCTGGAATGGGCTACAAGACCATTGCCAAGCAGCTTTGTGAGAAGGTGACAACAGTTGGTGCGATTATTCGCAAATGGAAGAAACACAAAAGAACTGTCAATATCCCTCGACCTGGGGCTCCATGCAAGATCTCACCTCGTGGAGTTGCAATGATCATGAGATCGGTGTGGAATCAGCCCAGAACTACACGGGAGGATCTTGTCAATGATCTCAAGGCAGCTGGGACCATAGTCACCATGAAAACAATTGGTAACACACTACGTCGTGAAGGACTGAAATGCTGCAGCGCCCGCAAGGTCCCCCTGCTCCAGACAGCACATATACATGCCCGTCTGAAGTTTGCCAATGAACATCTGAATGATTCAGAGGACAATTAGGTGAAAGTGTTGTGGTCAGATAAGACCAAAATGGAGCTCTTTGGCATCAACTCAACTCGCCGTGTTTGGAGGAGGAATGCTGCCTATGACCCCAAGAACACCATCCCCACCGTCAAACATGGAGGTGGAAACATTATGCTTTGGGGGTGTTTTTCTGCCAAGTGGACAGGCCAACTTCACCGCATCAAAGGGATGATGGACGGGGCCATGTACCGTCAAATATTGGGTGAGAACCTCCTTCACTCAGCCAGGGCATTGAAAATGGGTCGTGGATGGGTATTCCAGCATTACAATGACCCAAAACACACGGCCAAGGCAACAAAGGAGTGGCTCAAGAAGCACATTAAGGTCCTAGAGTGGCCTAGCCAGTCTCCAGACCTTAATCCCATAGAAAATCTGTCGAGGGAGCTGAGAGTTCGAGTTATTTTATTTTATCAATTTATTATTTTATTATCATTCTACGTGGTGGTGACTTTACCGAAAGAACCACAGTGAGAATATTATTGTGTTATTTTATTTTATCAATTTATTATTTTATTATCATTCTACGTGGTGGTAACTTTACCTAAAGAACCACAGTGAGAATATTATTGTTATTTTATTTTATCAATTTATTATTTTATTATCATTCTACGTGGTGGTGACTTCACCGACAGAACCAAAGAAGATTAAAGCGAGAGAATTAAAGCAAACGCAATCAGGCGATGGGCAGAAGGCGAGGCCCCGCATGGCTAGGCCCCGCGTTGTAATGTTCCGACCTGGACGTCGATTCTATTACTCGCTGCTACTCAATTGATATCCCTACGAGAGAGAGAGACGGAGCGAGGCTCTACCTGGGTAAACAACAACAACAACACCACAACAATAACCACGATGTGAATTTCTCACCTCGTAGTATCTCAGTGAGAGCAGGCGCGCGCGTAGTGCAGAAGCTTCCCGCTATATCGTGACGTCACGCGGCAGCAGGAGGTGACGTGACGTCACTCGCGTGGTCTCAACGCACAATCCCCTCCCCCCAACGAGCGGCGGTGTAACTGAATAAATTATATTTTGATTTAAAGCTTTCGTGACTGCAGTAATTCATATTCTTAGTTTTTTCGGTAAAGTCACGTTGAAGAGAAACAACAAAATAACAAAATATATATAAAACAATAAAAAATTCTCACGACGTTTCGACCATAACTCAAACGGTCATCATCAGGTGTGTCGGTTTGCATAAATTTATTTTGAAAAGGCATATTTATTTATATATATAAAAAAATAACGTTTGCTAATGGTTACTCCGACTATACAATCCGCAAAGCTATCACTCAAACCATGAAGAAGAACCCTCTTGAGGAGCCTTTCAAAACCATCACTTTACCCTACATTGCTGGGATCACAAAAAAGATCTCCAAAATCTTGAATAAACACAAGATCCAGGTCCGTTTCAACACATTACATAAAATCCGTGATCTGGTTCCGTCTGTAAAAGATGTGATTCCGGACATACAATACCCTGGTGTCTACAAACTAAGTTGCCTCTGTGGTAGTAGTTACATTGGAGAAACCAAACGCCATATCTCGGACCGCATTCGTGAACATAAAGCAGACCTTAAACACGGTAGGACCAACACCTCGGCCGTAGCAGATCATTGTTCTAATTCAGTAGGCTCACATGCCATTGACTTTTCCAAGACGGAGGTTCTTTGTAAGCCATCTGGCTTCCATGAGAGATTCGTTCATGAGGCTATCCACATATACAAGCACAGAGACAATTTCAACCGAGAAGATGGATTCTATCTTAGCAATCATTGGAAAGATTTGATTAATCATTTCAGTTCTTGATTGATTGTTCACGCTTACAGTGGCTTTCAGACAGCATACATAAAAACAAATTTCGTCTCCCCCCTCCTCTTTTCAAAAAATAGATGGACTAGTCCTGGGCAAACTGCCAATCGTTGCGCGTGACGCAAACGTTATTTTTTATATATATATAAATAAATATGCCTTTTCAAAATAAATTTATGCAAACCGACACACCTGATGATGACCGTTTGAGTTATGGTCGAAACGTCGTGAGAATTTTTTATTGTTTTATATATATTTTGTTATTTTGTTGTTTCTCTTCAACGTGACTTTACCGAAAAAACTAAGAATATGAATAAATTATGTTAATGAGACATGCTCACGTCCTCTGATGGATGAGGCGTGGTATGCTGAACCCAGCACAATGAACTCGCGACGGTATTTATGAATAAATTATGTTAATGAACCGCCAGTGACCGGGCGTAGCTCTGCCCAAATATGGATTTTTACTCGAACGGAAATCGGCAGTGACCAAGCAGACGTGACGTCACGCTCAAAAGCGCGGTGGAGGGGGGGTGAATACCTTGGTGACATGACGTCATCAGAGAGGTACATCTCCCCTAGGCGTCTCACACCGATGAGGTAATGCGAAGTTGTGACGTCAGAGAGCGGGGGATTTGAGTTTATTTATATTCCTTTTCCATTTCTCTCTTGAACAGAGACCCCTTGAGTGCGTGAGCTCAACAACAACGTGGTTAATCTCTGGTTCTATTGGGTAAAGTCACGTAGGTAAAAAATAAAATAACAAAACTCACGACGTTTCGGCCACAACACAAGCGGCCTTCATCAGGTGAAGGGGCGAGACTGTCTGGTAGGACAGCGCTGGAGTGAAAAAAGCCACGCTCAGATCACGACCTTTAAGCTGTGTCAGAAGAAACAAAGCGCCTTGACAAAGGAATTAGCATATAATTTAGCATTGAAATGGCCGAGTGATTAGCTTGTGACTGGTCACAGAAATGGCTATGTTAAAGTTAAAGCATACACATCTTTGTCATCTGGCCACATGGCCAGCCTGCTCTAGACCAATTCCGCGACCACATCAATTCCATACACCCAGCCATCAGATTTACCATGGAGGTCGAAAAAGATGGCAAACTACCCTTTTTGGATGTCTTAATTAAAAGGAGACATGATGGTTCAATGAGCCACTGTCTACAGGAAAGCCACCCATACAGATGCTTACTTGAAACCGGATTCCCACCACCATCCATCCCAGAAGAACTCCCTCATCAAGACTCTATACCATAGAGCCCAATGCATATCCGACCAGGAACACATTACCAGTGAACTCAAGCACGTACACCAGGCTCTCAGGGCTAATGGTTACTCCGACTACACAATCCGCAAAGCCATCACTCCAGTCATGAAGAAGGATTCTCTTGTGGAGCCACTCAAAACCATCACCTTACGCTACATTGCAGGGGTCACTAAAAAGATCTCCAAAATCCTTAATAAACACAAGATCCAGGTCCGATTCAACACTACATAAAATCCGTGATCTGATTACACGTGTAAAAGATGCTGTTCCAGACATACAGTACCCGGGCGTTTATAAACTAAAGTGCCTCTGTGGTAGTAGCTACATTGGAGAAGCCAAACGACATATCTCGGACCGCATCCACGAACATAAAGCAGACTTGAAACACGGTAGGACGAACTCCTCTGCCGTGGCAGATCGCTGTTACAATTCAGTGGGCTCACATGACATTGACTTCAACCAAGACGGAGGTTCTTTGCAAGCCAACCGGCTACCATGAGAGATTCGTTCATGAGGCCACCCACATATACAAGCACAGAGACAATTTCAACCGAGAAGATGGATTCTGGCTTAGTAACCACTGGAAAGATGTTTTAAATCATTTCTGTTCTTAATTAATTGTATTTTTACGATGACCTTCAGACCGCAGCTCTTTCGCCAGCATTGCCTCTTAATACCTCTCACACCACGGTTAATGGTATAGTTTTACAACATGGAGTATACTAGGGCCTCGCAGCTGTCTCTCTCCCCCTCCTCTGTTCCGACCATGGACGAACTCGTCCGTCTGAACGGGGCCCGTAGCTATCCGTGGTGCTGAAATTTGAGGGTAAGAATCCACCCATTTTTTCGCCATATAGCATTGTGATATATAACGACTTATTGTTGGTAGCTTAGCTGATTGGAGAATATAGAGTTTATTGATAACATGAAGGTAATTTATATTTTAGTTTTTATTGGTTCACTATATAGTACTGTGAATAGCTCGGATGTGTAGTCATTTCTGTGACCAGTCACTAGCTAATAACTCAGTTATTTCAATGCTAAATTCGCCTAGTTATTTCAATGCTAAATTCTCCTGTTTGATTTGTACTAAGGGCCTCGGTGAATGTGTATGCTCTGACTTTAACGTAGCTATTTCTGCAGCAGGTACAAGCTAATCACTCAGCTATTTCAATGCTAAAATTCTATGCTAATTCCATTGTCAAGGGGTGCCTCTGCAGATGTGTATGCCTTAACTTAGCTATTTCAATGCTAAATTCTATGCTAATTCCTTTAACAATGGGTGCCTCTGCGGGTGTGTATGCTTTAACTTTTAACACAGCTATTTCTGTGACCAGTCACAAGCTAATCATTCAGCCATTTCAATGCTAAATTATATGCTAATTCCTTTGTCAAGGCGCTTTGTTCCTCTCACACAGCTTAAAGGCCGTGATCTGAACGTGGCTCTTTCACTCCAGCGCTGTCCTACCAGACAGTCTCGCCCCCTTCACCTGATGAAGGCCGCTTGTGTTGTGGCCGAAACGTCGTGAGAATATTATTGTGTTATTTTATTTTATCAATTTATTATTTTATTATCATTCTACGTTACTTTACCGAAAGAACCAAAGAAGATGAATCATTGCAGTCACGAAAGCTTTAAATCGAAATCTACCTCACCTTCATCAAGACCCTGCCCTTTTGTCATGTCTGCAACCAAATGGTCCATGGCCCATGTGGCCAGTTCTATCCAAATGCGCCATGTATGCAAGACCACAGCCGTACCAAGACGTATCCATGCAACTACTTGAAAGACGCTCAAGTTGGCCCATGATGGCTATCCTCTATATCTTCACAGAAATACTGAGCATGGTGGATTTCAAACAACGCTCAGACCTGCCACTAACTCGCTAATTAAGGTTCACAACCGATGGATCGTTTCCCTACTGCCCTCCCCTGTGCAAGATCTTCCACCATCTTCATGAAGCTATGACAGAAGCTTCTGATGCTCAGTCCCCTTTCCCAACTGACATTGATCTTCTGCATAAATCTTCAAGTTTGCAGCCCATCTAACCCCATGGGACTCTGCCAAAAAATACAAAGAGGGCATGAGTAAGGACATCCTCCACGGAGCTCAATGACAAAATACAAACCTCGACGTCAACTTCTCTGATGTGATCTTCAAACAGGCCCTCATCCTCCTTCAGGACAAACTGCACTGCATTGGTGCTAAATACCTCGCGTCTATGGGACTACCAACGCCCTACACGGACAACCTGCATGCCCTTGCTCAAGAGGCCCTACGTTAAATACGCCATTGTGCTTTAACGGCTTCGGAAATTTACTTACGGAAATTAACCAAGGCTCACGCGTGCACAAAGTCAAGCCAACACGAACATCTTGGAAGACATTGAGACTACAAATTGAGTCTATTTTATTTCCCCCCTTGACGCACCTGCCAGTACTGGGAAGACTTTTGTTTTCAAACTGCTCCTCGCTAAGGCTCGCCAGAGAGAGAGAGACAATTGCTCTAGCTGTGGCATCATCGGGGATTGCTGTGTAAGTCTTTGTGTGTGTAAGTCGATGTGTGTGTAAGTCGATGTGTGTGTAAGTCGATGTGTGTGTAAGTCGATGTGTGTGTAAGTCGATGTGTGTGTAAGTCGATGTGTGTAAGTCGATGTGTGTGTAAGTCGATGTGTGTGTAAGTCGATGTGTAAGTGGATGTGTGTGTGTAAGTAGATGTGTGTGTGTGTAAGTCGATGTGTGTGTAAGTCGATGTGTGTGTAAGTGGATGTGTGTGTGTAAGTCGATGTAAAAGTCGATGTGTGTGTAAGTGGATGTGTGTGTAAGTCGATGTGTGTGTAAGTGGATGTGTGTGTAAGTCGATGTGTGTGTGGGGAGCGATAGTGTAGCAGTTAGCGCTACGCTGCACTATTAACCTGGCGACCCGGGTTCGATTCCCGCTCACGGCCAACACCAGTGACGATTATCTGAACCGGTCCCGGGCCTCCCCTAGGTCGACTCAGCCTCAAATGAGTACCTGGTGCGGTGTGTAGTAAACATCGCCACTGGGGAGACAAAGGCGGTCGGGCATGGTGCTGGCCACCCACCCCCTCGTGTACCGTTCCGGCCTTCATAGGTGCTCGCTAACAGCACTTGCCCCTACAGTCTGTTAAGGCTATATGGGGGATCTTTGTGTGTTTGAGTCCATGTGTGTTTGTTTGTAAGTCTATGTGTGTGTGTGTGTAAGTCTATGTGTGTGTGTGTAAGTCCATGTGTGTGTGTTTGAGTCCATGTGTTTGTAAGTCTACGTGTGTCTGTGTATTTTTTGCACAGGCAATGCCAGATGTCTGTGTGTAAGTCGCTGTGTGTGTCAGTCGATGTGTGTGTGTGTCAATGTGTGTGTAAGTCAATGTGTGTGTGTGTCAGTCAATGTGTGTGTGTGTCTAAGTCAATGTGTGTGTTGGAGTCCATGTGTGTGTAAGTCTATGTGTGTGTGTAAGTCTATGTGTGTGTTTGAGTCCATGTGTGTGTGTAAGTCTATGTGTGTGTATTTTATGCACAGACAACGCCAGATGTCTGTGTGTAAGTCGCTGTGTGTAAGTCAATGTGTGTGTGTGTAAGTCAATGTGTGTGTGTGTATCTAAAGTCCATGTCTGTGTGTGTGTAGGCCAATGTGTGTGTGTGTAAGTCAATGTGTGTGTGTGTAAGTCAATGTGTGTGTGTGTAAGTCAATGTGTGTGTGTGTATCTAAAGTCCATGTCTGTGTGTGTGTAGGCCAATGTGTGTGTAAGTCAATGTGTGTGTGTGTAAGTCAATGTGTGTGTGTGTGTAAGTCAATGTGTGTGTGTGTATCTAAAGTCCATGTCTGTGTGTGTGTAGGCCAATGTGTGTGTGTAAGTCAATGTGTGTGTGTGTAAGTCAATGTGTGTGTGTGTAAGTCAATGTGTGTGTGTGTATCTAAAGTCCATGTCTGTGTGTGTGTAGGCCAATGTGTGTGTGTGTAAGTCAATGTGTGTGTGTGTAAGTCAATGTGTGTGTGTGTAAGTCAATGTGTGTGTGTATCTAAAGTCCATGTCTGTGTGTGTGTAGGCCAATGTGTGTGTGTGTAAGTCAATGTGTGTGTGTGTAAGTCAATGTGTGTGTGTGTAAGTCCGTGTGTGTGTAAGTCAATGTGTGTAAGTCAATGTGTGTGTAAGTCAATGTGTGTGTGTGTAAGTCAATGTGTGTGTATCTAAAGTCAATGTCTGTGTGTATCTAAAGTCCATGTCTGTGTGTGTGTAGGTCAATGTGTGTGTGTGTGAGTCAATGTGTGTGTGTGTAAGTCAATGTGTGTGTGTGTAAGTCAATGTGTGTGTGTGTATCTAAAGTCCATGTCTGTGTGTGTGTAGGCCAATGTGTGTGTGTGTAAGTCAATGTGTGTGTGTGTAAGTCAATGTGTGTGTGTGTAAGTCCGTGTGTGTGTAAGTCAATGTGTGTAAGTCAATGTGTGTGTAAGTCAATGTGTGTGTGTGTAAGTCAATGTGTGTGTATCTAAAGTCAATGTCTGTGTGAGTCTAAGCAGAGAATTAAAGCAAACGCAATCAGGCGATGGGCAGGAGGCGAGGCCCCGCATGGCTAGGCCCCGCGTTGTAATGTTCCGACATGGACGTCGATTCCATTACTCGCTGCTACTCAATTGACATCCCTACGAGAGAGAGAGAGGAGCGAGGCTGTACCTGGGTAAACAACAACAACAACAACCACCACCACCACCAACACGACAACAACCACGATGTGAACTTCCCACCTCGGCTCACAGTGAGCGCCCGCGTAGAGTACGGCAGCTTCCTGGTGTCTCGTGACGTCACGCGGCAGCAGGTGACATGACGTCACTAGCGGGGTACACACCTCCCCCTCACGCCGATGAGGTAATGCAGCGGTGACGTCAGAGAGCGGGGTTAGAGTTCAAGTTTATTAAGATTCCTATTCCATTGATCCCTCTATTGAACATTGATCCTTTGGTGTGCGTGAGCTCAACAACGTGAACATTGTGTATACAGTGTGTGTGTACAAACTGTGTATGTGTGTACAAACTGTGTATAAGTGTGTGTGTACAACCTTTGTATAAGTGTGTGTACAAACTGTGTATAAGTGTGTGTGTACAAACTGCGTATAAGTGTGTGTACAAACTGCGTATAAGTGTGTGTGTACAAACTGTGTATAAGTGTATGTGTGTAAAAACAGTGTATAAGTGTGTGTACAAACTGTGTATAAGAGTGTGTGTACAAACTGTGTATAAGTGTGTGTGCAAACTGTGGTATAAGTGTGTGTACAAACTGTGTATACAATATGTGTGTGTACAAACTGTGTATAAGTGTGTGTGCAAACTGTGTATAAGTATCTGTGAGTACAAACTGTGTATACAATGTGTACAAACTGTGTATAAGTGTGTGTACAAACTGTGTATAAGTGTGTGTATACAAACTGTGTATAAGTGTGTGTGTACAAACTGTGTATAAGTGTGTGTGTACAAACTGTGTATAAGTGTGTGTATACAAACTGTGTATTATTGTGTGTGTACAAACTGTGTATACGTGTGTGTACAAACTGTGTATAAGTGTGCGTGTACAAACTGTGTATACAGTGTGTGTACAAACTGTGTATAAGTGTGTACAAACTGTGTATAAGTGTGTGTGTACAAACTGTGTATACGTGTGTGTGCACAAACTGTGTATACGTGTGTGTACAAACTGTGTATAAGTGTGCGTGTACAAACTGTGTATACAGTGTGTGTACAAACTGTGTATAAGTGTGTACAAACTGTGTATAAGTGTGTGTGTTTACAAACTGTGTATACGTGTGTGTGCACAAACTGTGTATAAGTGTGTGTGTACAAACTGTGTATAAGTGTGTGTGTACAAACTGCGTATACAATGTGTGTACAAACTGCGTATACAATGTGTGTACAAACTGTGTATAAGTGTGTGTGTACAAACTGTGTATATAGTGTGTGTACAAACTGTGTATAAGTGTGTACAAACTGTGTATAAGTGTGTGTGTACAAACTGTGTATACGTGTGTGTGCACAAACTGTGTATACGTGTGTGTACAAACTGTGTATAAGTGTGCGTGTACAAACTGTGTATACAGTGTGTGTACAAACTGTGTATAAGTGTGTACAAACTGTGTATAAGTGTGTGTGTGTACAAACTGTGTATACGTGTGTGTGCACAAACTGTGTATAAGTGTGTGTGTACAAACTGTGTATAAGTGTGTGTGTACAAACTGTGTATACTGTGTGTGTGTACAAACTGTGTATAAGTGTGTGTGTACAAACTGCGTATACAATGTGTGTACAAACTGTGTATAAGTGTGTGTGTACAAACTGTGTATATAGTGTGTGTACAAACTGTGTATAAGTGTGTGTGTACAAATTGTGTATAAGTGTGTGTGTACAAACTGTGTATAAGTGTGTGTGTGTACAAACTGTGTTAAAGTGTGTGTGTACAAACTGTGTATGTGTGTACAAACTGTGTATACAGTGTGTGTACAAACTGTGTATAAGTGTGTGTGTACAAATTGTGAATAAGTGTGTGTGTGTACAAACTGTGTATAAGTGTGTGTGTGTACAAACTGTGTATAAGTGTGTACAAACTGTGTATAAGTGCGTGTACAAACTGTGTATAAGTGCGTGTGTACAAACTGTGTATAAGTGTGTGTGTACAAACTGTGTATAAGTGCGTGTGTACAAACTGTGCATAAGTGTGTGTACAAACTGTGTATAAGTGTGTGTGTGTACAAACTGTGTATAAGTGTGTACAAACTGTGTATACGTGCATGCACAAACTGTGTATAAGTGCGTGTGTACAAACTGTGTATAAGTGTGTGTACAAACTGCGTATAAGTGTGTGTACAACCTGTGTATAAGTGTGTGTGTGTATAAACTTTGTATAAGTGTGTGTGTACAAACTGTGTATACAGCGTGTGTGTACAAACTGTGTATAAGTGTGTGTGTGTACAAACTGTGTATGTGTGTACAAACTGCGTATAAGTGTGTGTGTACAAACTGTGTATAAGTGTGTGTGTGTACAACCTGTGTATAAGTGTATGTACAAACTGTGTATAAGTGCGTGTGTACAAACTGCGTATAAGTGTGTGTGTACAAACTGTGTATAAGTGTGTGTACAAACTGTGTATAAGTGTGTGTGTGTACAAACTGTGTATAAGTGTGTGTGTGTACAAACTGTGTATAAGTGTGTGTACAAACTGTGTATACGTGTGTGTGTGTACAAACTGTGTATGTGTGTACAAACTGTGTATAAGTGTGTGTGTACAAACTGTGTATAAGTGTGTGTACAAACTGCGTATAAGTGTGTGTTTACAAACTGCGTATAAGTGTGTGTACAAACTGTGTATAAGTGTGTGTGTACAAACTGCGTATAAGTGTGTGTGTGTACAAACTGTGTATAAGTGTGAGTACAAACTGCGTATACAGTGTGTGTGTACAAACTGTGTATAAGTGTGTGTGTGTACAAACTGTGTATGTGTGTGTGTGTATACAAACTGTGTATAAGTGTGTGTGTACAAACTGTGTATAAGTGTGTGTGTACAAACTGTGTATAAGTGTGTGTGTACAAACTGTGTATAAGTGTGTGTGTACAAACTGTGTATAAGTGTGTGTGTACAAACTGTGTATAAGTGTGTGTGTACAAACTGTGTATACAGCATGTGTGTACAAACTGTGTATAAGTGTGTGTACAAACTGTGTGTAAGTGTGTGTGTGTACAAACTGTGTATACAGTGTGTGTACAAACTGTGTATACAGTGTGTGTGTACAAACTGTGACGGTCAGACATTTGTGACGATGTGTGACGAGGGGGGGGGATGACGTCACATCGAAATACGCAACTTTAAATATAGACAACACGTTATATTTAATTAAATAGACTTTTAAATAAATATTTTCTCCTACATCAGAGTGTAGCGCCACATTAAATACGCACTACAATGACAATAGTTTAAAGCGATTTGAAGCATGTGGTTTTTTTGGGAGGGGTTAAAATGTTTTATTAACATTTGTTCCCAGTCTGTATTGACAGGGATCCGTGATTCTTATTTTCAAGGTCTATTTTGATATCCTGAGGTTGAAGATATAGCTAAGCTTCAAACCTTACTGTTGTTAGCTCATAATGATTAACTGCCCTTTGTTGTATATGCCGGATATTGGAAATTGAATAAAAATAATAAATGTTAAATGTTAATTTATGCACATAAATTATGCTGATTAGAGAGATAATCATATTAATTCATGCGAATGTGTGCTATTATGCTAATGCGAGCCGTTATGATATTTAGGCCCTCCCTCGTTGTCGAGGGTAGTATTACCAATCGGGATAATACAACTAATGTATGAAGTTATGCAGGTGTGCTGTAAGTATTCTAGATTAAGCTCAGCTTCGTTATCTACGTTCGTATTATTACTCGGTATAATACAATTATTCTCGCTTTTACATTTAACGATTATGTATTAGTGTGTTTATGTCAGGTCTCCAAATTCAAATCTCACCGCAGGATACAGTTCTTATAATTAAGATTATTACACCATGAACTTAGGAAAGAAACACTCAAACACTTCTGTGTTAAGCAATTTTAATTTCTAAACATAACACTCTAATATGCAAACTCTTATGCTTGGAATTGTCAACACAGTACTCCTGGAGATGTTCTCCTCATCGATCCATACATTTAACCCTCAATGATCACGTTGTTAAATTGGGTAACAGAATAATCGATTAATTCCTTAGAATAACGCGAACATATATGGTGATAGGAAAAAGTCCTTAAAATTCATATGAAGGGCAATAAAGAAACATGTCCCGATGGCAAAAGTATACGGCAATGAATTCATTGGGAAGATTATGTAGCTTTAACTTTAACATAGCCATAGCCATTTCTGGGACCAGTCAAGCTAATCACTCAGCCATTTCAATGCTAAATTCTATGCTAATTCCTTTGTCAACGCGCTTTATGTCTTCTCACACAGCTTAAAGGTCGCGATCTGAGCGTGGCTCTTTCACTCCAGCGCTGTCCTCCAGACAGTCTCGTCCCTTCACCTGATGAAGGCCGCTTGTGTTGTGGCCGAAACGTCGTGAGAATTTTATTGTTATTTTATTTTATCAATTTATTATTTTATTCTCATTCTACGTGAATTTACCGAAAGAACCAAAGAAGATGAATCCTTGCAGTCACGAAAGCTTTAAATCGAAATTTAAAGATGATGTAGTTACGAAATGTCTTGGGACAATGGTGTGCGACAGTCTGCCTGCTTCAGCAAATGCTCATCAATTGGCTGAGGCTTCAATTAATTCGCGGGCAAGATTCTGTGATCAAAAGAACGATTTCAACACAATATTCTCCTTGTGAGTGTGTAGATTCGTAACGTAGGTTTCTAAACGTTGGGTTTCATCAATTAATTCATTGGTAATAGTTATGCAATTAAAAAGAAAGTGAAAAAAATAACGACTGAAATACTTCTAAATGACTATCCACGTAACTCAATGGGCCGCAATGTTCCTCGTTATCAGCTAGTAGTTGACGCACTTATCATGAGTCTTCTTGTACGTGTTAATGTGTGAGTGTTGTTGATCTTCTTGCATTAAGCAAACGCCGAGGTGGGGCATCCCTTGTATCAAAAATGTGTTTGTCCCCTGCGGAGAGGTGAGGGTGTGAGGGTGGGCGTGTCTTACAAACGGTGGGCGTCTTACAAACGGTGGGCGTGCCTTACAACGGTGGGCGTGTCTTACAACGGTGTGCGTGTCTTACAACTGTGGGCGTGTCTTACAACGGTGGGCGTCTTACAACGGTGGGCGCGTCTTACAAACGGTGGGCGTGCCTTACATCGGTGGGCGTGTCATAGAAACGGCTTTGTTGCTCTCTCTCGCTCGGGGCGTCGGCTTAGCTGCCCGTCCGCTGACAGCAGCAGGCTCCTTCCACTGCTGGAGGAGCTGCGCCGCACGCGCTCCCTCCTGCCCCGTGCTCTTTGTCGATGCCCGACTG